ATGATCTGTTGTTCATTTTCTCCAATAAAAAATATTTTTATATATTACTGTTGTGACGCGACAGTGACATCACTTGCTGACATGACTTACATGGAACATTAAACGAAGAGGATTTCACAAACCCGAGAGCGTTGCCAAGTTGTGCATTCGCTTCACTTATGTTTTCATAACGAAGGTTGTCAAAAATATGCAATTCGTAAATTGTTCGCTATAAAAGTTTCGTTAAATTGCGAAGTCAGTAAGTAACGAGTGATGTCAAAAATCGAGCCCCTGGCGGATAAGCGAAATACGTCTGCTAAAGCCGTAGAAAGCAAGTTGTGTGTTGTATACAGCAGTGTGTCAACTGCGTGAATATGAATAACGATAAAATAGGACGTTACAAGTATTGCATCGTTCCTAAATGCAAGAATTCTTCGGTAACTGCACCAGACAACATTTTTATTTCACTGCCAAGTAAAGTTATGGCAGTGCGCTATGCGAAAGGCCGACTTTGTATCTGCCAAGGGGACGCATTTTTGTTGCGAAGATCATTTTAATGTAAGTATGAATGATAATGATTAATAAAAAAAATTATAGTTCACTCTGACCACTACTTTGAAATTTAGATTGAAAAAGACTTGGAAAATTACATGTATATCAGAACCATGGAAATGGGAAAAATTATATTGAAACCAGGCATAATTCCACATATATTTGATTTCCAGATTGATAGACCGACGGCCCATACATCTAAAGCTCCACCGTTTGTTCAAATAAAGGAAAAACAAATTTTGTTAAATACTTGTAACGAAGATATCGCAGAAAAGCATGTCTGAGGAAGTAGGTACACAGGAAATTGAAATTTTTTTGGAATTCAAGTTAATGAACAGGTTTTTTAAAGATCAAAAGCTACAGCGCTTATGTAATCCCTACTGTCGTTAAAATATTCCATCACCATGAAAATATCGACTACAGGTAAATTACCGAATCAGTTCTACTAAAGCTGTCTTCTAATGAATAAATTGTTTTAAAAACAAAAAAATTCAAAAATACGTAAAACGTGGTGTTTTCAAACCAACAAATGAAAGAAAATTCGACGATGGCAGCGATTCATAATCTCCAACTACAGGACCGGTTGCCACCGCTCGAAGCTCGAATATTATTTGTAATCTGTATACGTTGTATACGTTGTGAATTATACGTTGTGAATTTATACGTTGTAATTCATTTGATCGTTGTTAAAATCAATTCATGTAACCCGAATGAAGATATATTCTCTAACAACCAAGTGTCGTCTGCAAAAATTCATAAAACTATTTTACACATCATATTCCATATGATACTCTCCAGGAATTCCGAAGATTTGTTCATTCCCATTTTTTTGAAACACGCCTTTTTCTTTTTCATTGATTTTGAGGTTGTTGCATACTTGTACTAGGTGGTGGGGAATTTTTAGACGTGCGTGGCACACTATCTTTGTCCTGTTTTTCTTCATTCGTGGCAATTGAGTTATTGTTATTTTCCAAGTTGCTACAATTAAACAATGGCAAAATTTTAGTGTGACCAAATTTGAAAGTTGCTGTTGATTCATCAACTGATGGATCGCCTTCCACAGATACTTTTTTTATTATTCCATATATATCTTCTTCCATTGCGGTAAAAATGTCAAGTGGAGGCAGTGGGCCACCTCCTGTTCTATTTGCCTCAGTTTTGACAATACTCATTTTACATTTGGTTCTGGAACGTATGTCTTGCCAACACTGGAATCATTTTTTGTTATGCTCTAAACTAAGAACAAATTCAAATACAAACCTTTCTCCAGCTTTTCCATGTGTTTGTTGCATCAGTCATGTTATTCAAACTTACTGCAATGTTACTCCATAGATTCGTGGCGTCTTTTTGAGTGAAATTTTGATTGAATCGCCCATTTGAGTAGTGGATGATTTTTAACAAATTCGATCAAAACTTTTTTTGTTTTTCTGTTATTTTTGATGATCTGTTGTCCATTTTCTTCAATAATATTACTGTTGTGACGTGACAGTGACATCACACCGAGAGCGTTGCCAAGTTGTGTGACTTACATGGAACATTAAACGAAGAGGATTTCACAAACCCGAGAGCGTTGCCAAGTTGTGCATTCGCTTCACTTATGTTTTCATAACGAAGGTTACGTTGTCCTCTATCTGATCGCCAGTGGGTACTCCACTAGAATGTTCTGGATTTTCCCCGTCGAATCTTCCAGTGTTCCCAGGAGTCTGGCTGGGGGAAACGAAAGCTTCTTCCTTGCTTTCCTTCTGGGGCCTCCACATGACGTCCAAGGGGTGATGAGGGTGCTGATGGTAGCGATGTTGTTGCTTATCATAGTTTTAGCAGCGTATTATCCTTGTAGTTGATTGAAGTAATATTCATTCGATTATATAAATACGGATGTTTCACAGGATTCGTCTATACGTGTTAGGAGAGTCTTACTAACGAGCTTGCCTCTAAGTGCTTTTACATGAAAAATATATATAAAGTTAACCCCTATAAAGTCTTACATATACGTCAATTTAGGTAATGACAGAGGTCCCTAACTTAATTCAGTACCTATATTTTGTTTACTTGTGAGAAGACTGGCGAGAAGACAAGATCGATCTGGTCATTTAGTAGGTTACATCCGCAATGCTTATGCTTAAAAGGATTCGAAATAAATGGGGAAGGACTTTTAATGTACATACCGTTTTGAGAAATTTCGGCCACATTGTCCCACATAAACACTATTACACTCCGGACACTTAAACTTATAAACTCCAGATTTCACCCTCTTGTCCACTTTATCATTGAAATTGGAAAGAATATTAGATAACCTAGCATGTGGACTGAATACCACTTCCACATTATTTTCCTGAAATTGCAATAATTATACAGATAGGACGTAGACACAATTCTGAAGTTGGTCAGAAAGAAGAAGCCCCAAATTCATGCACACATCAAACAATCAGAAGTCAAGAATTTTGTAACTTCTATATATTTTGGAAAACGAACAGAGACAATTGCGGGATTATTCAGAGGTTAAAGTGGACAAGATGGATAAATATGGAGTTTATATGCTCAAGTGTCCGGAGTGTAATAGTGTTTATGTGGGAAAATGTAACCAAAATTTCTTGAAACGGTATGCTGAACAGGTCCTTCAGACTAGGTAAAAATGATTCGAAGTTTTTAAACCATTCTTTGAAATGCATCCATAAGTTCCGAATCTAAACGATGCGGTGGAATGAAACTGCAGTTACATTAGTTACAAATACAAGTGGTTAAAAAACATAGGGAGTTTCATTTCTCAATTTTCATGATGATCTCCTACCACGTTTTAATGGCTACACCATAGAACATAAAAAGTTAACTGATTTATATTCAGTTCAGATGAGAAGAAACTTGATAATTTTTTTTCATTGATTTGGTTCGAGAAACTCAGAAGATATGACATATTTTTTTTATGTCATTCATGTATTTCATTTCCCTGAAATCAAAATCAACTAATTGAAATAAATATGGAAGGCAAATTACCAAATTTGAGCAGAGATGTTACTGCGTTTGGTTTGGTTTCATATTCGTCAGCTAGTTTAATATGTAAGTTATTCTCAAAAATTAAAGTTATATTTTTCAAAGTATAATTTAGTCATCACTCGGACTACAAACAACTTTTTTATAATTTGTCTTCGAATGTGTTGTATCAAAATCTATTTTAACGTTCCTTAAAGGTTTTTTTGGGTACAAAACACAATATAACACACGCACAATTTAGAATCTGATTTGTTCATTTTTCAGATTGTGAAAGGTTATGTACCCGAAAAAACAATGAAATATATTGAGTCTTTCACAAAAAAAACCTCTTCCAAAGAATATATCTCCCCAATTTTTCATGTCTTATATTGCAGGGATCAAAATTTCGCCGTGTGACTCATCAATAACAAAGAGGATGAATCTTATTCACATTGAATTCCACTGGCGGCATATTATTGATTTTACTCTTCGGAGACCAAGAAGACGTAGAGAAGTTCGTTAATCTGTGTTCATTAACGAAAGAATACAATGGTGTTTCCGTGAGAGAATTGGCAAAGTTTCACCAGAGTCATCCTTTGTCAAAGGATTCCAGGGGTATTATTAACTTCCTTGAATGTAGTGGGAGGTCATCCTGAATATGAAGTGGTTCCAATCTTGCCAGACCACACAAAAGATAGTTTTATCGAACTTCTCTCGAGTGAGAGTTTTGACTTCCACAGAATATAAATTGGAATTGGCATTCCACATATTCACATGAAAATATATTTCAGAATGAGTAGAGGTAACTTTTTACTGACCTTTTTTGGGTATCTCATACATGAGTAGAAAGATTAAAATTCACAGTTTAAAATATTGAAAAAACCATCAGTAACTATCAAAAAAGAAGAAACTCAACGTTTTGGAGGTTAAAATCCACCTATATTTACAGAATGAGAAAAAATCATTGATATTGGTAATTTTTTCATCGCTGGTTCATTTTATTTTCAAAGTCGGATGAAACTAGTTGTTTTGAAAGTAACTTTTCCCAAGTGTGATGCAATGCTCATGATTTGAGGAAGGGTTTTTCTTCTAGTTTGCACCTTGTACTTTCATGCATGATCTATACATTTTTGTTTATACTCAACTCAGTTGCTACCTGTCTTTCTTGGTGAGTTTTCCAAAATTTTTTATGTGAAGATTCAGAAGTGGAATCCGAATCTTCTTTCCCAAGAACTGATCTCTCCCGACAATAAACATCTTCACAAGGAAACTACTTCAGGATAAATTAGAGGAAATAGTTTTTCAATGGTGTTTCGACCCTTTTGTACATAACGTTACCAAAATTTCAATGTTTGTAAAACCTTTTTCGCAAAGTTTTGAATTTGAATCCTACCATAACTTGACCAGACATTGAAGTACTCCATAACTTGAATCATGTCATCATTATATTTTACTTTATGGATAGCAAACTTGGGTTATTAGGATTTGGAAAACTTCCTAAATCTACTCATATTGCCTTCAACCATATTTTTATTGTATATCAACGACTTAGGTTTGTTCTGGTTCTAACATCCGAAACTGTCTGCAAACTGCGCGTACAACCAAAAAACTCAAACAGTCCGAAATAGTCTCGATATTTATTTAAACCAGAACGCTTTTGAGAAGACCACTGTGCCACCTATCGTATAAATGAAGAGATGAAGACGAGAAAATACTAATAATCATGTCCATTTTGTTATGTAGCGTATCCCTATAGTTAGTTCAAATGTTATCTACCCTCAATTATCAATATTTCAAATCAAATAGATAAAAAACATCCTATAACAAATAGCCCAAACAAATTTCCACACGAATTCGCATGAACAACGGGAACAGTTCTCAACAGTTCAGCCTCGAGAGCAAGAACGATTCGGGATGGTTCAAAACAGTTTAGGATCATTTCGCAGTCGAAACCAGAACAGAGGATTCGTTAGTTCGAAATTATCCTCGATAAACCAGAACGTTTTTTATCAACTGCGCATGATCCTGACGTCCTAGAACCTGAATTTCGTAGAACCAGAACAAACCTATTGGAAAAAACCAAGAATCCAATATATTGCTTCGCTGACGACAGCACACTTGTCTCATCATTTCATCTTCACCGGTAGCAGGAGGTTGCATATCTTGATGAGGATTTAGAGGAGATTAAGAATGGGGGTGAAAGTAATTAGGTTCAATTCAATGCCACGAAAACCCAGGCATAGGTTTTCTCCAAAAAGATGAAAGTCTTCAAACCGGATATAATAACATTAGGACAGATAATTCCGCTTTCTGGATCGATACGTTTGTTAGGGGTTGAAATGGACACTTATATATCTTGGCACAATCATGTCGCTGAAATTGCCAAGGCTGTTTCTCAAAAGTTTGGAACATTGTTCCGAACAAGAAAACTGTACACCCTTCAACAACTTTTGATGGATTATAAAGCTCAGATCAGACATTCTTCGAAGTATTGTTTACATACATGGATATTATTAATCCAGTCATTTTAGGTTTTCTAAACCTCAATCTACGGAAAAATTCCTACTGAGCTGAATTTCGGTAAACACCTCCATTATGGCGTTTTAATGAAGATATGAAAAATCAACATTGATATAGTGCCGGCTAAAAAAGTTATAAGGGTCAAAATAACGTGTGATTCCTAACACGGTTGCAGAATCATTCCAACTTCAACCAGATAAATTCTCTCGAGAAAAATATCTGATCAAGGCGGGAATCGAACCTACGATCTTCCGATCATGAGTCGGGCGCACTACCAACGCGGTCAATTCCACCAAAAGAGATAATAATGACATTGAAAAACTTGTAGAGTGGTTTACTTTACAAAATTATTTTTCAACTCGCAATCATCATCAGTAAACACTTCTATCATGGTTCATTTCTCTCAGGTACTCATCTATCCGTTATTGCTATTTCAACAAATTAGTTCAATTGAAAAATTTGAGGAAAATCTTTGTGAATATTTACAATATGAATCAAGTCCATATCCAACAGCACTATTTGATAATGTTGGCATGGGAAAAACTCAGAAATCAAAAATATATCAATACTTGGAGCCAATTAATTATCAATTAGTTTGTGATAATACAACATACATAATTGCTGGTGGATTTCTTATGCATCGTGTTATATGGCAAAAAAATGGTACACATTCAATATTATCATTAACTAATATATTAATTATTTATCAAACAATTCTGGTCAAAATACTGTTGTAATTTTTGATGGTTACTCCGATACCAGTAAAAATATCAAAATGATGGAACAACTAAGACGAACCGGAGCTGTTTGTACATCTTGTAAAGTGCACTTCAATGAATCGATGAAAGTTCCTATCAGTCAAGAAAAATTTTCATCTAATCG